CTCTCTCTCTCATCTCTCTCTCTCTCTCTCTCTCTGTCTCTCTCTCTCTCTCTTCTTCCCCACTCACTCTCTCTCTCTCTCTCTCTCTCTCTTTCTTTCGTTAGGGTTAGGGACAAGGGGGTTTCCCCCTCTCTCTCTCTCTCTCTACAGCGAACACAGCACCCTACTCTTTCTAGTTGCCCGGAGGCACGCGTCCAAAGAGCACAGTTTGTGGTGTGTTGCGATGATTTTGCGCATGCAGTCAGGCGAGGGCTCGCCGCCGTCGCAAAAAACGACTGGAGGAGACAGGTGCCTAAGGTCGGATCAGCCTACAGGCAGGAAACAAGGACAGATGACGAAGCACATAGATGACCAACATAGACTTTGCATCCCCATGTTCCCGGAAGCGAACAGAACAGCCGCTTCTTTCTTCGAGCACTGGGCAGAGACGCTAAGCTAGCAGCCCCAGACTCGCTCAAAGAGCTGCTCGGCCTGGGATTACGGCTGCGGGATCTTGTGGACCCATTGGACTGGAGTTTTTTGTTCGCCGGCACCTGAAAGACTCTTATTGCGCAGAGGTCTTTAGTAGGCACATGCTTGTGAAATATCAAGACGCATGGTCACTGGTAAAATGAAGAAGTGGGGACCTAGATCGATGTTCGCCTCCGATGGCTACATGCCACTAGACAAAGTTGCACCAGGGTTTCCTTTTCGGATGTCTCTTGGCTGGACCAGGCCCTCACTTACACCAACAACATGTCTCTGGTCGCCATCACAGGACGAGATTATCAAGAAGCGTGTGCATTGTGCGCACATGAGTCTGAGACCCATCTGGTTCCTTTGACGAAGAAGATGCCCGTGTTGAGCATGGCGCTGTCTTCACTGACAATCATATGCACCTGCTACCGAGGCATGTTGTCGAGCATCCCTGTTCCCGCAGTCGGGCTGTGAATCTTGGCTCCGAGTCTGGATACCCACCGAAACACAACACTCCCCGGACCGCTTACTCAAACGATGTTCGGCTTGTATTCAACCTATTTCTCAATGATGAAATCACTTGGTGCCTCAGGATCCAGAGTGAGCTCACCTTAACCCAGCGTTTGTGTGCATCGTAGTGGCCCAAGGGTACGGATCCGGGAAGCAAAGCTCCCGGCCGCTCTCTTCTCTGCCAGCATAGGTAAACAGGACGCTCTCCACAGTGATGCTGGGCCAACACAGGCTCAGTTTGCTCGGGGCAATAGGCATGTAGCAGCGCATCGGCTCTTCCAGAGCCTCATGTTCATGAAGTACGTGTCGCAGTCTGCCCAAACGACCTGGCAGAAGCCACAAGAGGACCGCCATGGCACCATGGTTGCACTGCTACACGAACATTCTGTAGATCTCGAGCTGCAAACCTACGAGCTGAACAACCACAGAAGTGTCTCTGTCAGCTGCACCTGCTCTAATATTCCAAATGACTAAAGGCTCGTTGAAATGAAAAGGTTCAAAGCAGCAGCGGGCTGAGGTACAAACCCAGTCCCACTTCCCGGACTTGACCTCCCTTTCCATGAGCCTCAAAGTCTCAAAGGAGGCAGAAGGCCACTCATAGCAAACTGACGAACGTGCCACGGCGATGCTTTTCACGGCCAGGACGCTTTATCTTTCCCCAGGCTGGTGGCCTGGCGAGTCCACCAAGCAGGACAGCGGAAGCGAACTCCTTTCAAGTCATGTGGCCTTTGGGAATCCACCCGACTCGTTTCTAGCAGATACCTGGCAAAAATTGGCAAACGCAGGTTCTCGTTGCTGCTTCGCTACAGGCCCCTAAAACTCCTTAAACCCCAACCCCTAAAGCAACCGTTCCCGCTCATCCGGAGCAACCGTGAGCATCTCGAGTGTCTTTGTCACCGCAGGCTCTTGCTTGGGCGCTTCATTGAAATCCATGAAGTTTGGCTCAGATCGCATTGAGCATCTCAGCACCTGAGTTACTTACGGATTCAAAATCTCAAGCGGGGAAACGCCTCAGATTTCAATTCGTGTACGCAGGTAGGAACTTTCTTGGTTGTAAGAGACGTAGGTTGCAGAAGAAAGCGTATGAATGATGCTATTGGGGACTATGAACTTTATATGCCGACACCTTTCGCCACATCTTTCTTCAACGACTCTTACAAACGTGCACTCTCCAAGTCCCGCAGTTTTCCAGCCCCCAGGACTATTCAATAACAGAACTTATGAGGCTGTAAGACCTTACGAAGAAGGGTCTGTGTGTGATTTCGACCGGAAAGCGCTTGTGAAACCAGAGGGGGTAGCAAGCACATGTGCACTATATACATATATATATGCATATATATATATATATATATTTGTATATATATATATACATATATGTATATAGATATATATATATACATATATGTATATATATATATAGTTGTTGATCTAAATTGCTTCATGCCGGAATGTCCTTCTTCACGGAAGCAAAATTAACTTTAACAAGACCAACACGGAACTTTCGCGGAGGCATAAACAAATAACTTTCGCAGGAAACAAGTTAACTTTAACAAAACCAACACAAAACTTTCGCGCAGGCACATTTAGCTATGCAGTTGTCGTTTCACATAAATTATGCCACAAGGAGCTTTAGATCAACTACCATATGTATAATTGTATAATGCATGTATACGTTTACATGCACATATGTAATATGCTTGCTTATTTGTTTGTTCACGTGTTTGTTTGTCTATATACTCTTTGCATACTTGTCTACTCAGGTATGCCAATGCTTTTATGTATGTGCCATGCTATAAAGCACGTTTACATGATGCCGTGCTCGGCAGTACGAGAGCCAGATGGCCACCACATGCTGTCTTCTGCCAGCGTAGTGGGCGCCCAGTTCGTTGAGGGAACGCTCCGAGCCGCTGCCGAGACACAGTTGCCAACACTGTTCAAGTAAACGAAGACATCGGTACCATACCTGCAGCACATGGCTAAGCAAAACCGCGCAAGCATTCTCCAGACTCCTACAGGCTGTTGGCCACCCGCTGGCCTGGGTAACGTCTGCAGCTTCAGCCGACCTTCCAACTTCCACTCACTATCCATGCAGAATTTCAGTCTGCCAACGAGACACCTACAAAAGTATGACTATAGTGCCAGAAATGCTGACTTGAATGGCATCAGCATGCCTCCCAAGTATTCCGCATAGAGCCGGCTCAACGGCAGTCCGCAGCCAAGCCCTGCTAAAGGCGACCTCGCAAGTGTTACGCGAAAGTGTTTACTGTCGACTCCAGACTGACGTTCCGGACCAGATCAGCAGGATCCGACAATCACACCCGTCGCTCGCCCACTCCCAGCCTAAGCAGAATTCGATGCTCCTGGGACGTGTCCTCGTCCTGGTCCAAGAGACCTCACTCAATAGCTGCTGTCTCGACATGTCGGTGACTCGACATCGAATACAAACCGTCCTCGATTTCGAGAGTCGGTCAACATGCTGACATGTTGCTGTGTCCAGGCTGCATTGACATTTCCACATGGCGGAGCCTCGTAGGAGCATCCACCGATTCCCTGCAAACAAACGATGCAACAATCTGATGTAAGTACTACGCATGTGTTGAAGCGGGAATTTATGTGCGATGTGGGTGCAGGGACAAGCCCACAGACGACCAATCAGCTGTCCAGGTTTTCAAGCAGCCTAGGTACAATAGCGGTGCAAACGAAGTAGCTGCCCTGTCGTCTTTACTGCGCCTGGTGATGGGAACATCCTGCGGCTGGGCAGTGGTGTACAGGTATGACCAGACCCGGGGAAGTCTGTCCACAGGTATTCCACCTGAACGGGCTGTTGACATCTGGTGGTCAGAGGCATCGTGGCACTGTGAATGACATGTATGCTCTACTCAGATGACACACTCGGTGCGGCAGAACAAATGAGCAACAGTGAACAGACATGAACAGACACTGGCCCAACCCTTTATCATCCACAACCTGCCTGTCGCGGGCGCTCGGTGTCCGGTGCTGTCTGTGGCATAGTATTAGGCACGAAATTTGGCGCAACGTGTGTACATTGGTATGTTGCAACGAGGAACCAGACGGGCCTGCGGCTGCGGTGTTGCTTCGAATAAACTTTAAGTAGGTGCGGCAGACTGGTGACGACTACAAGGACAGTAGTCTGCGGTACCCTCATGTCTCCTCCCCTGAGCCACCATCTCAGCTGCTGCCTGTGGCGGCGACCGCAAATGTCATCGTTACTTTGAGGTCCCGAATCACTGCGCAGTTTCGGAGACCTTGTTGCGGAGGTCAGCTGGGCTTCCTGCATTCTGTCTCCACCTGCTCTGCTTCTCGCCTGCTAATCTCTGTCGCGTCCCGAGCTGGCCGTCATGTCGTAACCCCCGGACACGCACGCACAACAAAAAGCTTCTGGACATCCACCCGGATCGCATTCCCCTCTTACATACTCGTGACGTAAGAACTAAGATGTGTATAAAGGCGCATTGCCTCTTGAGAACATGTTGACATGTGTTGTGGTGTTGTGGTCGGGCACTGCCTCCAAGGACACTCTTATTTCAGGACAAGAGACAGCCGGCTCAATCCCCAGCACTGCATACATGTTCGCCCAAGTGCCGTCACCACTGCCGTCGCGACACACGGCACAGCACTCTCGTACACCGACCAGGTCCAATGGAGCCCGCAGAAAGACGCCGGCGGAAACTTCTGCCTCTTTGGCGCAAACATGCACATCCCACCACCCTCCACGAAACAAGACGCCGGCCAAACAGAGTGAGACTGGAGAAAGTTCGGTAGCTGAGACAGTGGAAAGGTCAAGCAATTTCTGGTGCTCTTGAGGCTTGGACGACCGGACATCAAGATTTATACCTCAGCCATGCTCAGCCCCTGCGTCCTGCGCTGACGTGTTTCTTTGACCAGAGCCGGTGACCGCGACAGTGGACTGAGGATTGGAGGGGATCTCTTTGGGGCCGGTGCGTAAACCGCTACAGGACAGACCGCATAAACCTCACGAATGATCGCAGCAAGCTGTGCGGCCTCTCACCCTTTGAAGCTTCCTTCAGAATCATCTTTGCACTGAAGGAACTTGGCTTGATATTGCAATTCCTTCTCAACTACACTGCTACAACTCTGTCCTTGGAACGAACTTGGTAAACCAAATTTCGGGTTTGGCCCGAACACAACAAGCGCATGCTAAGGCCGATGGGGCAACTATGCGCAGCTCCCGCAATCGACTGCATGGACGTGTTTTGCTGGCCTCCTGTGTCGGAGATACGGACACTAGTAACGCCCCGTCCAGTGCAGACCTTGGCAGGTTTCCCCTGCAATCTGTGTTCTGGAAGCTGTCTCGTGAAAGGGCTCGCACGACTAAAGTAATCGGCACCATTTCAGAGCAACCAGTGAAGGAATGCTGCTCCACGGTCGCCCGAACGGCGTTCTTCAGCAGCTCAGACAGGATGTAAAACATGTAGCGTGGCACAAAGGTGAAGGGTACCTGCATACATGGAAGCTGGCCTCAACAGCCATGTCACGTCTATCTCACTGCACTTTCACGGAGATCCTCAAGAGGGCGAGTTGCGGCCCCTGCATCTGTCACGATGATTTTCGGCGCGCTGCCGTACCACTCGTGGCAGAGGTCTTGGATCACGTTAGCAGCATGCTCGGCGATCTTTAGAGGATCACCTGAACTGGCAGGTAGTCTCGGCAGTCTCCAGTGCAGCAATGCCACACATGTGCAAGCAAGCTGCACTTGGTGCTGATAAAGCTCTGGTATGGATCAAAACTCGCATCAGCTTCGCCTTGCAAGTTGCACAGATGTGCGCAGTCTGCAAATCTACGCTTACGACAAAAGAGGAGGCATCTGTTTGCAGAACTCTTCTCAGATGAGTCGCTGCCCTGTGACGCGTCATTCGCAATCTCAAGGAACTGAGAGATGAGCAAGTTTGTCGATATCCGCAGCTTGAAAAACTGGTCGAGCCTTGGCGAATCGGGCTGCTTCGACTTTGCATGTCAAGTCAAGAAGGACGAAGGTTTACGTTGCCCTGAAGAGCCCCGCGAAGACTCGACCCCATGAGTCCTGACCGGATTCGGCAATGAGTGGCCAATCGTTGATCTGCGTCTCCGTCAGCTGCTCCTGCTGCAAATACTCCTGCATCAGTCGAACCTTTATCGCAACCATCGCAATCACAACCAAGAATGAAGTTTGACAAGTAGACTGAGTGTAGGCATGAAGCATGTCTGATGAGATATCCTTGAAGCTCTGCACGAGCAGGTTAGTCCGAGTATGCCGGCGCTTGATCTTTGCCAAGGTCAGCCTGTTGTGCCGCTAGACTGAGACAGCTAAGTGGCTGAGCGTCAAATGGCTGAACACTAACACTGGGCCACTGAAACCGTAAAAGCAGTACTGGTCTTCAAAAGACTTGAAACAAAGTGAGAAAGCACAGCGTCGCTGCCGGGCGACCTGAGCCCTGACTCCGACATGCCTTCCGCACTGCAGAACCGAAGCTCCTGAGACGAGTCAGTATCACGATCACTCACCTCCGGAATGCGCCGAAGAATCCCACCTTGAAGGACTTGATGTACATCTCACGCACGTGCCTCACAGAGCTCTTGCACACGAGGCAACACCTGGCCGGTCGCCTGCCTGATGCTGTCTTTGCCCTGCCATTCAGGCAAAGCCTTGACAAGCAGATGAGAGAGAACAAGGTCGTTTCTCGTTGGCATGTTTCCCCAGCCTCCAACATCGATATGCGTCGCGCGTATCGTACAGGGAGCTCCTGTTCCGCGTCTGATTCTATCTGTCGACTGCCACATCTTAGCATATCTGCTCAGTTTGAACAGCAGCACCTGCCTCGTTCAGTAACGCAGCGAGGGTCTCGGGTCGCTGCCCCAAGTCCATCATGTCGCGCACAGACAAGCTACGAGCCTGTATTCCATTCAAAGAATGGTGCACCCGCTGGGACCCTGCACGCTAGCAAATGCACCTCCTGCATAGACATAGTTGTGATCTCTGCCTCCAGCAGCTGATCAAGACGGCCCTCGCCTGGGAGGAGGTTCATGACAGCCTCCCAACAAGGTCAAGTGACCACGTAAAGGGCGCACTTATGGCCACATTGTTCCGTGGTCGCAGAAGGTGTAGTGCATAGCTGCGTGGACCCAACCCTCGAGACTGCCAGCATCGCAACATGTCGAAACATGGCATAGTCTACCAAACAAGTCTCTCGATTAATCAATCCATTTCATCTCGTACCATGCTTTATGCGAAAAAGGAACGCCACAAGCTGCGCCCACAGGACTTCGCAGTGGAAAGCTGGCATCTTGCGAACGCGGACATGATTTAGCCAACTTTGGACATGGTTCGGAGGACTAGAGGAAGTTCGTGATGTCATTCTACCACTGGGGCTCAGAAGCGTGTCTTCTGCAAGCTGGAGCTCGCAACATGGAGTTGCTGTGATGCGTGAGGATGTGGCCGTGGCCACATCATTCATGCACGAGAAGTGTAGGCCGATTGTGCGTCGTGTAGCTCTCAGAAGCTCGAGCAGCTCGGGCTTGAGGCAGGGCAGTTCGCTTGCGTGTGCCCAGCAATTGAAATCAGCTTCCTGGAAGACCTTCCAGGCGCACGAATAGCCATGTTTGGCTGCATAGGTTCCTTATGGATGTCGGGCACTGCAACTCAGTCCTGCAAGTTCCTCACTGCAGCAGCCTTGATTGGAAGAGGAGAAGCGCGGCAGTGGGTGGTCCGGTGGATAGGCCTCAAAGCTTGGAATGTCTTGAAATGTCTGGCAACCTATGTACGCTGCTACATGGGCCGTGCAGATGCGACTGATTATTCCGGGGCTCTTGTGTACGTACCGACTGCGATCTACTGAGTCTACTGCAATCTACAGTTCACCCGGAATACACTGGATGGCCCAAAGGCACCCAACGCGTGCATGCGAGGACCTTTTCACCGCTCAATTTCTGCCGGCTAGCTTGTCACTCGCTCTGTCGAGTGCCGCACACGGTCTCGGCCGAGGGGTCCGTGTATGGATGAGTACAACATTCACTGCCCGTCATGGCCAGGATTTGGCCACGTCGGTGCCCTGACAGCATGTGCCCACCTAGTCCCAGCTGCGCATCCCACGCTGTCTCTGAGCTGGAGACCTTTGAAGCTTCGCAGAACGAAAGGACAGCAGGTGAAAGCAAGCAATAAGAGGTGCGAGAGCATCCGAGGCCCTGCACCAGGAGCGCGAGCGGCTGGAGCGCCGTCTCCTCGGACTGGGCCTCCGACTGTCCTCCAGCAAGAAGCACGGAAAAAGGAAAAACCCTCAAACTCTGCTAGTTACTAGTTGCATGGCTGCCCACAAGAATAAAGTGCATGATGTAGTTATTACAAAGAAAAGAAACGAAAGACCCGCTTGGTTTTATCACATGAACCACCCATCAGATTCCAGGTCTAGTTCGAGCTGTCTTGTTTCAATGACGTGAACACAACGTGACTAATGAGGAACGAATGCGTGCACGGTGTTCTCTTCAAATTACACAAAGCACACGAACCAACCGCCGGGTTTTCTTGGTTATCTTCTCGTGTGTCTTGTTCGTGGTCTGCTTCCTTCGTTTATTTCAGTAACGTGATCACGCTTTCGTTCTTTTATGACTTCATCGCTGTTTGATGAAAGGAAGGGGGAAACGAAACCAGGGCTCTAGATTTTCCATGTCCATTGCAAGCGTACTGTGAAGAAGAGCAAAAGGACTGACTTCAATAGTAATAAGCGAATTCATGCTTCATTCCATTCCAGTAAAACTCGACACTGATCATTATGTTAAAGTAGTTGCCGTTTCTCGTCGCGGGCAGCCATGAAGTTCAGACGAGAGGCGGAGCGTGAGCGACCCCGAGCGTCGCCGCGACCTCGTCGATCCATGTCATTGCCTTGGAGCTCGAACCGGAGCTGACAGCATCCATCCTAACCCTAACATTTCCAAACATGAAGGGATGCCTCAACACGTAGGACTTAGGCATCGGCGTAGCTTCTCGTCTATCATCTCATTGACGAGGCCTGATATCAAGACATAAGACCTACAGCCAGCAGTCAACATCGTTCTGCTTTAGAATCGCTCGGATCTTGCTCGTCGTATATGAATGAAAGAGGGCTGTGCACATGGGGACACTCGTGTTCCGCATCTCAGCCTGATGTAAAACTACTGTAGGACGTGCAGATACTGAAGAATGGAGCATCTCCTTGGCCATGCCTCCTCGTGGTCTCTTCGCTCTCTCTTCTTCTCGTTCGGATGCTTGGAGTATCGTGCATTCAAACATCTTGGAGCAGAGCGGGATTGGCTCTGTTTTCGACACGCTGCACATGTTCCGCCTGCTGTCTGCCTAATATTCGAGGACTGTTCCCACCTGCACTCTTTCTTCTAAGAGTCTTTTTTTATCGCCTCTTTTCCATCTGCCCAAGGGGTGTCCGGAACACCATGCTGGTTGAGGCTTGGTTGAGGGAGACTGCTAAGAGTCTAACTTCCAAGGCTACATACCTACCTGGCCTCTTCTTCTGTTGGACATGGAGAGAGCAGCAGCACCCTCCCCCCACACGAGTACAGTTCACGTGCTCAGTGCTCAGCATGTCATTCACCGTCACACAGACAACCCCTTCAGCCTTTCCCGTAACGTGCGCTACATGCGCTCTTGGTCTACGCCTGTGGGATGCTCCGCGTTGCAGCTCATTCGCATCTCTTGCAGCACAACATTTGTACCTACCGGCGTTACCTGTCTTTCTGTGGGCTAGGAGGACGGAACTGCTCACAGCTCTGGGCCTACGATCATGGATCTTGGCTACAACAGAAGACCTGAAAGTCAAGCAATTTCCACATGCTTTCTCGCGCTCTCTCTCTCTCTCTCTCTGCGGTGCATGTGCTCTTCCGAAAAGTTTGACAGCAAGACTGTGAGTAATGAACCACGAGCTATTTGAGGTGAAATCTCTTTTTTGAGTGGACTGCTTCGTAGCGCCCCCTTCCGAGACACAGAACGTTGTCACCAAGAAGCGCTCGGCATGCCGACGGCCGCCAATACCGGTCTTGGTCCCTGCGTAGGTGCTGAAGATGAGCAACCTTGTCAGCAGTATTGCTCTTCCTGTTACTGTACTCACCGACTCCGCTCGAAGCCATTGGCTGACATGCGGCTGGCCAACTAGAAACAGTTCAGCCACATTATGACTCAGTATTGTCAGAATTGTCATTCTCGTTCTTATATTCGTCATAACCCTTGTCATTAGTCGTTTGAGTTCTGCTTCACTTGCCGATGGCTGAAGCACTCCTTAGAAACTTCAGCCACGCCCATTTCAAGCCGCACGCAGAAGCTGCAAGGTCCAATTGCAGCCGAAAAGGAGCCTTTCATCACCTCGCGAGTCCAAGGCCATGAACATGAAGGTGCCGGTCTCCTGTGAAACGCATGAAGGCGACAGGTGCAGAACAGGTCTTAGGGACAATGTGGGCCAGAACAAACATTCTCCATGGTGCTCGCAAAAACAACATGTTGAATCAATGCATAGATGCTTGGAGCTCTTGTGTTCGAAGCAGGAATAAGCAGCCATGGCAACCATCTCATGTGGACTTAATGGCTTCATGTCGTCTCCTGCTCCATGCGCCGCAGTTCACTTCCGCGGTTGCCTTCAGGAGATGGACAGTCGGACACCAGCTTTCAAGGAAGCGCCCCTGCGATGTGTGGGCCATCACAAAACTCGCAACAAGAGAACTTGCACTCAGCACAGAAAGCAGCTGATCAAGGCGAAGCAATGCAGTCTGGCACATGCGGTGGACATCCGTCGGCATTACTTGAATGCTGTCCAAGCTTGCAAGCCAGGCTGCCTGTGACCCAGCCTTTGCAACTGTCGGGGATTTTCACCTTTTCCACATGGCTGCACCAGAGGACTCGGTAGGACAAGCCTTGCATTAAGCTACAAAGTTTGCCTCGGTCACGTCATCCCGCCGAGACAGGTCCTTTCAAATCAAGCCGGATGGCTTGCGACAAGAACTGACCAGCGGCAGCCCTCCATCTTGCCAAGGCCAAGTTCATGCAACGACTGAAATTCCATCAAGATTGCGGTCCGTGATGGTCACGGACCCGCGTCGCTGTTGGAGAAGCCAGTTCACCTTTGCAGGCGGGAAGGTGGTGCACGCTTGTCCACAATGGCTTGTCAACGCCGATGCATGCAACCTCTCTGCGGGCCATTCAGCACGCTGCGAAATTGCTAGCACTTGGCTCACATGAGACGGCGGTTGTTCTGGATTCCCTTGACGGGAAACGGCCAGATAATGGGAAATTTCGTGCAACGTGTTTCCCATTCATTCGCGCCTAGCGGAGCTTACGTACGGATTTGTAGGTACCAAAACAAAGGTGGGTATATATATATACACACAAACATATGTACTGACACATGTGTGTATTATATGTTTATTATATGGACTTATATGACGTGAGAATGTATATGTTTGCTCGCACTCATTGTATCGTGTCCTCGACGGATATGAGAAGGAAAGCTTCGGGCATTCTGCGTGAAGACCTAGGCATGTGGCTTGACGAGAGGTCTGTACGACTAGGTCATGGAGGACGGGTTGCGGATCAAGCATGAGATGCTGATGCTTGGCAGCTTCCGTTGCCTACGAGCATGTACTACCTATTGCTACCTTCTACGTGCGCCTGAATTTTTGCTGGCTCGCGCAGCTTTAGAGGAAATAAGGCTCACAAAACTGCGCTGGAAAAAAAAACTAAGCCAGGGCTCGTAAGGCATATTGAGGCTTAAACTTTACCGCCCATACAGTTCAAGATGAAAGGACATTTTCGGAAAGCGGTGAAGGCTCACTATGCGTTTGGGGTCTAGGGCTTACAACAGGCAAGGTGTTTAAAGTTTACGGATCTTGCGAGGGTTGAGACGCTGGGGATCGCTGGGGCTTCAGCGGGTTTTAAGGTTCAAGGCTCAACAGACGGGCCAAACGACTTCAGAGCCGGCAGCTGCAGGAGATGTGCTGATCAACTGTCACACAAAAGAATATTTTTCGTGTCGCGACTTCTTTAGTTCAACTTTCTTAAGCTCAACTATCTTTGACCCTTTAAGCCTCGCTTTGCTGGTTTCGTGTATACCGAAGACAAGGACCTGGGTACAACCCTCTAACATGCCGCACAATGCTTCAGCAGCGAGTGGCGAACTCGCGGCATCTCCGGCGCTCTTTCAGGGTGCCAGCAATGAAAGCCTGCAGCGAAATCAGCATAAGTAACTTCCTCGGCGTCAGTGAGCACGGACTGAACCATTCTGGTTCGACGAGGTGCAACATGTCCAACGTATTGCAGTATGGCTCCGGAGGCGAGCTCCAACTTCTTTCTTGTGGCACCATCCTTCCCTGCACGAGATAAAAGCTTCATGTTCTGCACGTTCTCTCATGAAACTGCACCATGAAGGTCTCAGGCAAGCCACCCAGAGCATAACCTCGGCAACTGAGCATCGAACTGATTGTGGCATGCCAAGACTGTCAGAACCAGCCACCATGCGCGAAATCGTTCTGATGAGTGCGAGCTGCTCAACTCATCGTCGCGAAACAGCATGCGATCTGTATCAAAGCCTCTTCTTTCCGAGAGTTTTTCTCGGATGCCTGAGCAGGCCCAGGTGAAGTTTTGTCTGCTGTAGTTCCCAGGTGCGGGGCCTCGCATGAAGAATCCAGGACTTTTCGTCTCTATGCCTTAGAACGACTTCTTCAGCAAGCTCCGAATCAGGCACAACCGATCGGACATGATCCGCCCGAGCCAATTCTGTGCATGGCAAGCATCCGCTCATCACCTTCAGCTCCGAGCCGCGACCTCAGCCGGGTTTGCAGGTGTGTAAGCCTCCCGTATGCATGGGCAGCACAAACAAAGCGAAGCATGTGGCTGTGGCTTCAGGTTATATCTTCAGGGCGGTCTTGCTTGTTCCTGGATGGTGATCGCTGGAAGTCACAATGTCAAGCGGCATCAAGAGAGCACCAAGAGAGCACACGTACTTAGGATATTTGGGACAGTCCAGGAGATTCGCTCAGGCACATCCGGCGGAATCCGGCTGGCAGACTTCACACAGGATTCGCATCATGCGCCCTGCTCGGATCTTGCTTCTGTGCAACATCACACTGCTCGCCGTGGCATCGTCCCTTGCGGCCAGGTAGGCCATCGGCACTTGGAGGCCACGTTTGACAAGAGCAGCCCGTCAGCCAGACGTTGCCGCTGGCAAAGCTCTCTGAAACACGCCTTCACCATTCTGATGCCACTCCTCCACTTCCGGCACCTCCGCCTCTGCCTTTTCCTGACCATACTACTCATCTTCAACATGATAAGATTCGCATCATCTCCATGGCAGCACTGACACCCACATACATAATGCTGCTGCCGCTGCTGCTGCTGCTGGCGGTAGAGATGGCGACAGCGACGGCGACGATTATCACGATGATGATGGTGATGACGATGAGGCTTCTGCTGATGATGAGAACTCATGGTTAATGACATGATAACGACAATGATCACGGCATGATGCTGACGTACATCATGATGATGCTGATGATGATGAAGATGATGATGATGATGAAGATGATGATAGTGGTGGTGATGGTGGAAGTGATTGTGATGACGATAAAGATGCATCCAAGACAACAGTTGTAACGAGGACGAGGAGGACGAGGACGAGGAGGAGCACGACGAGGAGGACGAGGAGGACGACGACGAGGAGGACGAGGACGATCAGGATGACGAGGAGGACGACGATGATGCTAAAGGGGTTGTGGACGAGACGTATCACATGCATGAGGGTGCCGATGTGCTGACACTGATGGTAGTGATGCTGCTGACGGGGTGGATGCTGATGCTGCTGCTACCGACGATGGGGGGGCGATGATGCTTGATGATGCATGATGATGATGATGATGATGGTGATGATGGCGGTGATGATGACAATGATCATAACAATGACGATGATGATGGCGGTGGTGATGGTGACCACAGTGAGGGCGGTGCCATGCTGCAGTAAGACCTCATGATGGTGATCCATCATACTCATGGCTATGACACCGATGCTCATAATCATTTCACGAGCAAAGATGGGAATACGAAGCACTGTGCACAGCGTAACATAGCCGGGGTAACACAGAGACCACCAACGGAAAAAAGATCGTTCGTCCTGATACCAATCATGCCAACCTCAACAACGGAGACAATCAGCAACAAGAACAACGGGGGGGCCTCGAAAACCAAAAGGTGGTAGAGACAGCCCCAGTAGTATGCAAGCAGTAATGAGCCTGAATCTGCACCCTTGAAATGTCCTGGTTAGTTGCATAAAGACAGCCACTGAACCAGCCGATTGCCAAGTCACGCGGCCGCTGTGGTCCTAAGTTGATGAAACGCATATTCCAAATTCACGACTTGCAGAAGACTGCATCGTTCCAGGGATGCTAACTGACCAGAAAGGCACCGAAGATTGCCAATCTCTCGGTGCCACCTCCACGGGTGCCTCGTGCGCCATCCTCGCCTTGCCAGGAACAAAGACAAATTCAAAGAGCCAGGTCACAGGAAGTGAAAGATTTCAGATTCGATAAGTTGATGATCCAAGCAACTCATGAAGAACATGAGGGTGCCCCACTCCTGCACAAGATGGCGCCACTGTGCACATAGCATGTACGAACCGGCATGACAATCATAGCACCCGCGTGAGAGGGCAAATCCTCCTCCATGAGGCCGAGCGTTGCACGTCGATTGCCTAGAATTTGCGAAGAGCACAGAACCTGCTTAGATGTACCAGCACGGAGCCCGCGCTTGGCCAAGTCTGCTCAGATGAATGCAGCTCGACCGATGCAGGCACGGTACCGGTGATGTAGCCGATGCAGTCACCTGTAGCGACGAGACACAGCATGCTCAGACTGATGCTCGCCGCGTGCGCACTAAATGTTTGCCAATTCATAGCCGAGATTCTGGGTATATCGACCACTGTACAGTCTTCCCGGTCCTCCCAGCCGGCCACATAAACTGGGCCTTCCAACTGCTGAAAGAGCCACTTCATGTACCTCGGCGAATGCCACATCGCACTGCTAGTCTTTACCACTTGCTGTCTCAGACTGTTCTCTGCAGACATGGAACTCACGCACCCGGCAGCGTTCTGATTTGGTGCCCGACACGACTGCAACCATGCCCACCTTGGACAGGAACCGCAAAACTTAGAACAACTCCCCCGCAGCATCCAATAGATGCCGGATTGAACGGTATGTCCGTTATGACGTCTGGACCCTACTTCAGAGCATGTCGCCCATGGACGAAGATGTGCGACGATGGAACTGCGGTTACCAACCGCGCAGCTTCATCCAGTGGTTCACTGTTGTGATATTCCGTACAACCACGGTCGGACGTATTTCGAGATACAAGCCAACCACAAGAAATGAGCCTTACTCAGGGTTGTTTGACTTATCCAGGCTTGGCTGAGATTTGACTTGATTAAATCCGCGGTCAAGCTGCGCTACTGAAGAGTCTCTCATTTGAGACGGCAGTGCAACTACTGCGTGGACTGGCCAAGTCCGTCTTGCACAACAAGCAGTTCAAGCCGTCTACGGCCGCTGTCTGCTGCATAAACACAACCACGAACATGCCATTCAAGCTGCAAGAGTCAACCAAGAACGGATGCGCAGGGGCAGCCCAACTAAAGCCTATCAAAGCCCCTCCAAGGCTTTAGGATGGTGCCTTCCGCGCTTCTTCCTTTGGTGAGAAGTCTGTCTATTACACGAGGGCATCTCCGTCACATCTTTGTGAGCCAGTAGCTCTGTCCGATATGCGTTATTGACTGGTCACGACGAGCGCAGGCTTCACAATTTGGGGCACAGATGTGCATCCATGCACAAGAATAATCTGAACAGCCAACATTCAGTCATTCCAATATGTTTCTGTTCACCACAAAAGTTAGCGGTTAGCCCTTCTGGGATAAACCGCATGTTCCAGGGTAGTCAGGGTCTGCCAGTCTTATTAGATTCCGTGCCATGTCAACTCGTGTTATATTGCTGACTACCGATACTAGAGAGCCACGGGCTGGGACGAAAGCTCTATCATGGGCAGGGCTGGCGACACGGAGCTCACAGCAGTGAATTTCGGTTGCGGTCAAGTTCACCAAGCGCAAACAACGACACTGACAA